GCCCAAGCGGTGCTGAGGCCGATCACGCCCGCACCGACGACGAGGATGGTCTTCGCGTTGGCGGAGGGCCTGACCAGCGGTTGAGTCGCGGTGGACAAGAGTTCGTTTACGACGGGGCGTTCTGGAGGGAAAACTATTGTGAGCATCGCGCTTCTCTGATTGAAACGTCCACTGACGCATTGTGGTAGAGAGCGGATTCGTTAGATCGAGAGGGGAATGAATATTGTCACTCAGTTCTATCCCGGCTTTTATATCATTCATTGACACCGCAGTGTCGACAAGGCCAAAGGCAAGGCGACACCGGATTTCCGGTGGAGCATGTCCGTGTCAGTGCCCAGTGCCTCCGTCGCTGGATCGTTGGAAGCCCACGCTGGTCATGAGCACCACCTGCCTCGAACGCACGACGCTTCCCAGTCCGATGCCCGGTCCCCGCTACTGGATGGTGGGGAGTCGAGATCGATCACGCTGGGGGTCGAATTTCTTCGTTACCCGAGCACATTGTCAGGGCCACCGGCAACGGGCAGAGGCTTGAATTCCCCGAAGCATTCTCAGGAACGGTTCCCTACTCCGATCGCCATCGAGGAGCTGCACCTTTCAAGGAGATGCAGGCGATTGTCGTTCGAGCGGGGCTCTCATCATCCACATCCACTCAAGTCAATTGGCGCCCGCACTGGGGTCATGCTGTGGCATATATCGATCGCACATGACTTTGACCTGGAGGAAGCTTTCGAGGTCGGTATGGTCTAGAGCAGGGCCAGATGCTGCATCTCATCAAGCACGGTGGACGCAGGCTTGATCTGCGCTGCATTGGTCCAAGAAGCTCACGACGAAAGACGCTGACTCCTTTGTGCAGCACCCGCTGTCCGGTGCTATGACATTCCCAGATCGCTGCCGGCGGTCTGAAACGGTGGTTCAAGGGTCTCGGCCCTTTGGTTCATGGTCTGGCTAAGTTAGCCTTCAAACTCATTCCAAGAAGAGCCGTTGGTCTTCGAAGTAAGATGGGCGTCACCCCAATGCGGCACGTTTGTCAAAGCATCAGCGTCGCCACCGACACCGCAAAATATCGGCGGGTGTAAATTTCTTTGTTGATATTTCTGTGTTCCTCCAACTAGAGAGCCAAATTTGAAGTTCATACAGTTCGTAAACGTAAACAAGCTGTACGAGTCATTTCAGCCACAGCAGGAAGGGTTGTACGATGTCCAGGCCTCCACGTGGTTGCTCAAGGAGCCTCGGAACCCGAGAGTTCATTTTTATATGCAGAAATCAATCGGGCTGCTCGGTTAGTAAATCTGATGTGTGATTAAACAACTAGCTGTTCTGAAAATATACAAACTCTCACCCCCCGAATTGTTAGAAGCGGAACAGCATCAAGACATCAGTTTTTTCTCCATTTCGTTGATGGTGCCAGTTGGCGCCATAATTCGTGATTGTACTTGACAGCTCTACAGTACATTTCGATGAAATTTAGTTTACAATGGAACTCTCAGTAAAAGTCACACAGACAACCCCCAGAGATCATATACTCTTTGTGAAAACAGATTAAAATGAGGCCAGACCATCTCAGATAACATTAAAACATCTCTACAGACTCTCAGAGTTGGTTTGGCAGACACTTGAGCTTGAAAAAACACATACTGGAGCACCTAACATAACATGCCTGCACTGCCTCCAAGGTGCAAGACAAAGAGTGGTATTTTGATTCAGCTGCGCATGAATTTATTTTTCCTGCTCCCCAACCCCAACATTTTTGGATGCTCAATCAGGCCTTCAGTTCTGTGAGACACTCTCTGTGGGGTTGCAGATAAATGTTAGCAGAAGCACAGATGGCCTCCAAAGCCTCCCAGTTCTACAACTGCAGGCCTTGGTCTGAATCTGTTGCTTTCTGGTGCATCTACAAGTTGATAGGAAGTCTCAACAATGCAAGGCTTTACTCCAATTTTATGCTGACAACAGTGAATGGAAGGTAGCATAATGTCATAGTTTAGTCACTTTTTCACCTTATCATCAATGATCTTATCTTATCAAGGATCACAGCATCTGACAGTCCGGGTTAGGGGTATAGGGGGTCATCTTTATCAATTTGAGGCTGCGCGACATATGCTCTGGAAGGTTCTACTACAACCCATGACCAGCGTTCATGCAGTACATAGTCTTATGACTCATTAGTTGTAGATATGACTCAGACTGGATTTGGATATAAATACTGTAGCTACTTGGTTGTATTCTCCAGTCTTGGAATTCACTTCTCTTTTCGACATTATTTCTTGTTGATTGTCACATAATTCGAAGACTCCCCTCATACCCTCGTACCTCTTACCTCCTACCCTGCATCCCGCACTGCTACACCTGCTATATCCTCTTAAACCCTTATCAATCAACTCACCCTTTTACTGAATCATCTAGTCATTCTCTGCGATCGCAGTGAAGGGTTCATCTTGAGCAAACAGCACCAGGCCACGGGTAATGTTGAGCCCAACCCAAGCCTTACAGTAGCTACAAGGAATGCTGCGGAGACCTTCGGGAAAATGCACCTTGGGATCATTGGGCACGTGAAGAGCTAGGCCCGGGATCTTTTTGCTAGCAAAAGAACCCTCCCCCGAGTGCTTGTACAGCACACAAATCCACCATTTTGTTCCGATTCCCATTGTCGCCCGATCTGGCGCATCAAAACCAACCCAGGCCCTCCAACCCCTACCTCGCCCTCCCGCCTCCTGAAGACGAGATCCCCGACCTTGGCGAGTTACCCTCCGAACAACCACCCTTGCCCCCACCTACCACACCTGCTCCTACCATGTCAGGACATCACCGCATCACCCTCGCCGCCAATCCCCCCTACTTCGATGGCAACAAGTCCAAGTACTTGGGCTTTGTGGACGCGTGCACCACTTACATCGGTGCCTATCGGTCAGAGTTCTCGCTGGACAAAACAAAAATCCTCTTCGTCCTGTCCTACCTCCGAAATGAGAGCGGCACAAGCTGCGCTGCCTCAAGATGGGCGATGAACTGGAAGCAGCACAATTTCGAGGGCTTCCAAGGACTAAAGGCGGGAGTCACCGCAACAAGCTTCTTGGAGGAGCTTCAGAGGGCCTTTGGGGATTCTAACGCAGAGCAAGTCGCTGCCGCCCGACTCATGGCCCTTTGCCAGGGCAGACGGTGAAATGCTGAGGGTGTGCTCACAAGTGAATCTACTATGAAAGTAAACCCAAATATAAACACGTTCACACTCCTCGTAATCAGCTTCTCGGTGTGTGAAAGATGCGAGGGCTTCGGGGTGGACAGAACACCAGTATCACAACTCTCAATAGATGCAGATCCAATAGTCGCGGGGACGAAGTCGACGACAAGAATATACATATAGTAAACAATGGTATCTCAACCAATATCTTCTATACAAACACAACCAACACTAATCCAATCCACAAACAACATATAACAAGTCAGAACTTAATACGAAGTATTAAGGTCCCTTGTAGCGACAGCGTCTAGATGGTGATGCAAAACCCAAATATCAAGTCGACGCACTGCCAACTAGTAAACCAAAATGTCAAGTCGATGCACTGCCAACTGACACAACCAAAGTACTGAGTCGACGCACTGCCAACTAGTAAACCAAAATGCCGCGTCGACGCACTGCCAACTAACAGCCAATATCCAATGTCCAAAACCCGAGCACAACTTGTTGACGCACTGCCAAGCAAGAAGTGTGGAACCAAAGTTCTCAAGTCAACGCACTGCCAACTGACCAAAACAACCCGAGCACAACTAGTCGACGCACTGCCAAACTAGAGGTGTGGAACGATCTCAACAAAGCCCGAAGGCGACGACACTAAATGCCGCAACTAAAACCAGATGCGGCGGATCCGACTTTCTGATGTCTCAACTCAAACTCAAATCACAGTAGCTACAAGTGCTCAGGGAGCAACTCGTCGCGACCGGGCAGGGGTAGCAGAACTTCTTAGGGTGGAATCACGCGGCACGCAAATTGTACAAAACAATCTGAAATGAGAGTGATTCACAGTCCGGGGGAAAGCTTTTTAATACAAAGAAATGACGTGCTACTTATACTGTCTACGACGATGCTTAGTAAAGTCCTGTACAACTGCATAGTAGCTACGCTATCTAAGATCGGTTGCCTTTTAGGGTAATTGAAAAGTTGAACAATCGGACAGGTCCTGAGTGATCAGGACCCCGCCCCATAGTCCATATGATACTTTTGATGTGGGTCAACCCACCGCGTCATACTTTTGGAATACAACGTGCTGGATTGGCCAACGGGTATGTCTTGGCAAGTGAGACCAACGTGGGCGCCCCAAGAAGCTGTATGGCCCTAGGCACGCCAGTCGTCCCTCACATGGTTCGGTTCACGGATCTAGCCGTATCGATTTTAGTGTGTTTGGGTATGGACGCAACTCGCCGTGACACTTGGGAGTGTCACCGCGACGCGTCCACAATGTCCCGTGATCGAATGGATCCTGACATGTGACAAGTCGTTGTCGTGGCATGATCTGAGGAAACGTCCAACTCAAAACCGGGAGTTGCCGCGACAAGATGGTTTAAGTCTCGTAACGCCAAGTCCTGTCCAGTAGTAGTTCTATTATTGAGAACGTCGCGCATTGCTCAGCCCTTCAGCCCAAGTTCCCATCTGCAGAGAATGACCCTTTTTGAGAAGTCGACGCAACGACAGATCCCTTTTTGGGGAATGGTCGCGGTCCAAGCGTTCGTCACTAATGGCCCTGAGCCTGGTATAGACTCATAAGACCAGTTCCACAGTAGTGGTCTGACTGCCTTGCTATCGTCGACACTATCCACAGTCGTCGACTGGGCAGTAGACCCTTAAGTCCTACTGAGCGCAACACTGTCACCCGCGACACGATACACCGAGTGGTTCAAGAGTAAACTCTGTAAAAAGCGCAAAAATACGCCCTTACAGAGCTGGTGCAGAGCGTGTCTGGTAGCCAGCCTATCAACGGTCCTTTGCGGACTACATCTCCGACTTCGAAATGCTGGCTGCAGACGCGGGGTACAATGTGGTCACCTCCACCAACAGCAAGGGCGAGTACAAGAAGGGGGAACAGGACAATATCCTCATCGAGTTCCTGGAGCGCGGACTCAGCAGCGAAATTGCAAGCCGCCTCTACAACACCGGTGTTCCCCTGCCCAAGGCATATGGTGCCTTCAAGAACTGGTGTGTCAACATCGAGGCCAATGCTTTGCGCAATCAGCTGCGTAAGGCATCCTATGCGCACTCAACTCCACGGCCTCCCCCCCAATTCCGCCCTCAGGCAGCACCAGCAACGCCCACACCTGCTCCGACCCGGCCGGCTGCCAACGAACCGGTCCTGATGGAAATCGATCGCACCCATGCCCGCAGCCGCAATATCATCTGCTACAACTATCAGCAGCCTGGGCACATTGCGCGGAATTGTCCGGAGCCCAAGAAGAAGCGCACGTTCTTCAATCAGGCCACAATGCTAGAAGAGATCAAGAACGGGGATAAGGACAACGAGTTCCTCAAGGAGATTGCCGAGAAGCTGCGTGAGAAGGGTTTTTGAAGCGCTCCACTCCTCTAGCCAAGGAGGTGGAGCGTCCAGACTATGGACGATTTTCTGTACTTGTTTCAATTAAAGACATGAACGATTCTGCACATACATATACAATCTCGGACTCACTACGTACCAATATTCACGATTTTCTCATTGCTGATATGGAAAAAGAACGCCAAGGAAAAATAGCTTTAAATAGAGAGCATTTACAAAGTAAAAAGGATCCGAAAGCTGCAGATAAATTAATTTTGGATTCCTACGTATTTATGGCTCGTGGAGAAGGAACCACGTCAACAAAGACCGAAAAGGGGAGCACTGCTCCGAAGGCTCAATCCTTGAAAAAGGAGGAAGCGCCTAAGGAATCTGCCGAAATCAAGGTTCCAGAAGTACCCAAACGCAACCAGGGTGCCAGATGCCGTCCAAAGGAAATTGGCGGCCGAGAAACAGAAGGGCCCCCAGCCCAGCAGGTTGGCGCAGGAATTGCGCAGTTACCAGGCTGAGAGGAAGAGGCATTCGATGGACGTATATGTCCAGATCACGGGTCTGGACTCAGGGAAAACGCGCGGAGTCAAGGCGCTGCTCGATAGCAGCTGCAGTACCTGCTGCATCGATACCGACTACGCACGGGCAGAGAAGTTGGATATCCAAGAGCTTCCACAACCCATTGTGGCTCGTAATGCCGACAACACCGAGAACATCAGTGGTCGGATCACGCACTACGTCGATCTGAGGATGAGAATCGGTCCTCATGTGGAGACACGCATGTTCCTTCTGACGTGCTTAGGGAAAGCCCGGATCTTCATCGGTCTTGATTGGCTGATGGAACACAACCCCGAGGTGGATTGGCAGGAGCAGACCATGAGATTCAGCCGATGCCCAGAGCGGTGTCACATGAGAGGTCGCGAGGAACATCAAGCGATGATTGACATGGATGCAATCAACCTGGACATGGGCGCACCAGATCTGGAAGAGGAAGAATCGATCCTGTTGGTTGATTTTGGGAAGGAAGTGGACCTGCGATTGAAGGAAACGCCGGTGCAGAAATTCTCAGAAGAAGCGGAAAAGGAGAAAGAGAGAACGACCGAGGGGAGGATTCCGGATCAATATCGGGAATTTGTCAAGGTATTCGCCAAAGAATCGTTCAACTCACTACCAGACCGACGGGCATGGGATCATGCGATTGAGCTCAAACCTGGTTCCAAAGCAGTGGACTGCAAGGTGTACCCGTTATCACGCAATGAACAAGTCAAACTCGACGAATTCTTACAAGAGAACCTGGCCAGTGGACGGATCAGGCCATCAAAATCACCCATGGCATCAGCACTCTTCTTTGTCAAGAAGAAGGATGGCTCTCTACGCCCCGTCCAAGATTATCGGAAACTGAATGAGATGACAATCCGGAATCGATACCCGCTGCCGCTGATCTCCGAACTGGTCCATAATCTATGCGGCGCAAAGTTCTTCACCAAGCTTGACATCCGGTGGGGATATAACAATGTACGGATCAAAGAGGGTGACGAGTGGAAGGCTGCATTCCGCACGAACCGAGGGCTGTACGAGCCCTTAGTTATGTTCTTGAGTCTCACAAACTCCCCGGCAACGTTCCAAAACATGATGAACGACATACTCCGAGAGTTGATCAACGAGGGTCACGTGGTAGTCTATCTGGACAATATACTGATCTTCACAGAGAGCTTGGACGAACATCGGCGGATCACGAAACAAGTTCTTGAATTGCTCCAGAAACACAAGCTATACCTGAAGCCCGAAAAGTGCGAGTTCGAACGCACAGAAATCGAATATCTGGGTGTAATTATTGGACACAATTTGATGCGGATGGACCCAGTCAAGATCAAGGGCGTGATGGAATGGCCGGAGCCAAAGAGCGTCAAACAAGTCCAAGCGTTTCTAGGGTTCACAAACTTCTATCAACGCTTTGTCCAGGGATATGCGGAGGTCGCCAAGCCGTTGACACGGCTAACAGGGAAGGCAGGATGGTCATGGGGTACGGATGAGCATGCAGCATTTGATGGGTTGAAGAAGAGAATCGCGGAGGATGCGGTCTTAGCACTGCCAAACGACACCAGCCAATATCGTCTGGAAGCCGATGCTTCGGAAGGGGCAACAGGATCTGTTTTGAGCCAAAACCAAGACGGCATTTGGCGCCCAATCACATTTATTTCGCATGCATTGACTGAAACCGAGCGAAATTATGAGATCTACGACAAGGAAATGCTTGCGATCATGCTATCATTGGACAAATGGAGACAGCTACTACTGGGAGCCACGGAGACGTTTGAGATCTTCACTGATCATCAGAACCTTGAATACTTCTGGAAGCCGCAGAAGCTCAATCGACGGCAAGCACGATGGATCACGGAGTTGGCGGAGTTTGATTTCACCTTACAAGACCGGCCCGGCGCACTCAATTGCAAGGCGGATCTCTTATCTCGACGAGCGGATCACGATCAGGGCAAGAATGACAACAAGGACGTCACCCTACTGAAGCCCGAGTTCTTCCAATCGCAAGAAGTCACATTCGAGGGACAAGATCAGCAGCTAGTTGATGAGATCAAGGCCACTCGATCGATTGATGGAAGCGTCAAGGCGGCCCTGGAGAAGTCACTCGCTGGATGGAAAAAGGAAGACGGGCTCATCACGTACCATGGGAAGCTCTACGTACCAAGGGACGAGGAACTACGAGACAAGATCATTGGACTACACCACGACACCCCTTTGGTCGGACACGCTGGGATCAATCAAACGCAGGAAATGGTGGAAAGGAACTACTGGTGGCCAAGGATGGGGAACCAAATCCGGAAAAAGATCCAGACGTGCGAGGCGTGCCAGCGGACCAAGACCAGGAGAGCAAGGACAGGGACTCTACACCCACATGCAGTCCCAAATGCGCCATGGGAAATCATCTCCATGGATCAAATTGGACCCCTACCGGTCAGTAACGGGTATGACGCAATTCATGTGTGGTGTGACACCTTCACCAAAATGATCCATGTCGAACCAATTAGTACTGACATCAGCAGCGAAGGAGTGGCATGATTAACCAGGGACCAAGTCTTCCGCTACCACGGGATCCCCCGCAAGATCATCACCGACAGGGATTCGCGTTACATCAAAGGCTTCATGAAGGAGACAAATCGGATGTTGGGCGTGGAAATGAATCCGGGGACCGCATATCACCTGATCACAGATGGACAAACGGAACACATGAATCAGGAGATCGAGCACTACCTCCGCATCTACGTCAATTACCATCAGACGGACTGGTCGGAGTGGCTGGGAATGGCGGAGTTCGCATACAACGACAAGATGAACACGTCCACCAAAATATCACCGTTCTACGCCAATCACGGATATCACCCATGGAAGGGAGTAGAACAACGGATGGAATCGAGGAACGAGTCGGCGGAGGAGTTTGTAAAAAGAATCAAAGAAATACAAGACGAAGCGAAAGCAGCATTGGAAAAAGCAAATGAAAAAATGAAAAAATACTACGATAAACAAAGAAAAGAAGTTCCGGAGTTGAAGGTTGGGATGAAGGTGTACATAGAAGGGGAAAATATCGAGACGGATAGACCATCAAAGAAGATGAGCGACAAGAGATTAGGACCATACGAGATACTGGAGAAGGTTGGAGCGGCCGCATGGAAGCTAGATTTGCCGGACACGGACCGAAGACACCTGGTGTTCAACGAGTCACTATTGACACCATATCACGAACCACCCCCCATCGCCGAGAGAAGAGGCCCGTAGCCAAGATGATCGGAGGAGCAGAGGAGTGGGAAGTCGAAGAGATCGTGAAAGAGCGAAATGTCGGCCGAGGAAAACAGTACTTGGTCAAATGGAAGGGCTGGCCGCATAGCGAAAATACTTGGGAACCATCACGTCACCTTACCCACGCAAAGAAGGTCCTGAGAGATTGGCAGAGGAAACAATCCAACCCAGACACACGCATCCGCCTCCTGCCAACGCTCGAAGCCGGACACTGGGATTATCTCATTCATCGCTATAAACCCAAAGACGAGCGCCTTCCATACCCCCAGCGACAACTCTTTGATCCCTACGAGAACGTCTTCACGCCCATTGGCCTAGTCGATGAGGACATCGACCCTAGAGAGGGGGTAATGTCATAATTCGACTCTTTTTTATCTTATCCTCGACGATCTCATCTTATCTCGACACGGATTATCTTATCACGGATCACGGCATCTGACGGTCCGGGCTAGGGGAACAGGGGTCATCTTTATCGATCCAAGGCTGCGCAACATATGCTCTGGAAGGTTCTACTACAACCTATGACCAGCGTTCCATGCGGTACATAGCCCTATGACTCATTAGTTTTAGATATGACTCAGACTGGACTTGGGTATAAATACTGTAGCTACTTGGTTGTATTCTCCAGTCTTTGAATTCACTTATCTTTTCGACTATTGTTTTTGTTTGATTGTCACAGAAATCAACAATTATGACGCCTCCATGGAATATGCTGCAAATGGAGAGGAAAATTTGAGCGCAGACAGACTACCTGAAGCAAACAGACAGAGAAAAGAAACATTAGCCATTTCTTGTTGATGATGTTGGCTGTCCCTGGAGCATGTACTTGGGAGATTTGCCTAACAAATCAAGTTGCGCATTTTTCAAATTTTTAGTTTGACCTGACAGCTTGAGCAGACCATGCCAAAATGAACGAAGTCATATATATCAGTGCCCCAAGCCAAGCCAAAAGATTTAGGTAATATTGCACAGTTTTGATATCCCAGCCCCTGCCGAAGCATCAGGGAGTCACACGTCTGTAGCTGCAGACCATCCCCAGACACAGCCTGCAAACTCCTGGCAAAATGAAGGATAATTATGCTGCATGCTATGACCACAGCGAGAATAGATAGATCAAAATATGATGCAATGCACCCCTAACCCTGCTCCTGTGGTTGACCCCACAGCGGGCCCCGCAGCACCCCCTGTGGCACCCCCCGCAGCACCCCCCGCAGCAGACCCCGCCAAATGATGGGATCAAGTGCATCACCAGTCCCATTGTGCAGGGTGCATTTTGGGCTTTCTAAGCTCAAATTCATGCTTAAATAGTGTATTTACCTATAGAAATGATACCAGGATGATTTGGGAAGGCTTCCATTTTCTTGGGCAGAAAATCACGTGATTATGCGCCCATTGTCTGCCACAGCATGCCATGGATTCAGCAATACCTCCGAAATCATGCCAAATGGTGCACAAAAGGTGCCCCAAAAGTCACGTGATAATGCGCCCACTGCCCGCCATGGTGTGCGGGGGGGGGGGGGGCAGTAGCGCCCCCTGCCAACCCCCGCCAACCCCTGCTAGCCATTTTTGATAATTTTCATGCGGTGCATCACGTGATTTTTTTTACCCCGCCATCAGCTGCCATCCCGCCCATTGGATGTGTCATGTGATTCATTTTTTTTCACGCCCACCTGCCCGCTCCCAATGATAAATCACATGATATGTACAGACCCCCCCCTGCACCCCCCCTGCTGACCCCTGCATATGTTGTCGCGGCCCAAGCGTTTGTCACTAATAGCCCTGAGCCTGGTGTAGACTTATAAGACCAATTCCACAGTAGTGGTCTGACTGCCTTGCTATTGTTGACACTATCCACAGTTGTCAACTGGGCAGTAGACCCTTAAGTCCTACTGAGCGCAACACTGTCAACCGCGACACGATACACCAAGTGGTTCAGGAGTAAACTCTCTAAAAGCGCAAAAATATGCCCTTATAGAGCTGGTGCAGAGCGCGTCTGGTAGCCAGCCTATCAACGCACATGAAATAGCATTTTAGTTAGTAGCTGAGTACAAAATTAAATGGTCTTTGCATCCTGTTACATCTTGGACATCTTTGGGGTCTTAGAAAGTTCCACGAATCTTATTTATGAGAAGACTTTGTATGAAAGACTGGAGACATGTGTGCCAAGACAAAGCTCTCAAAAGACGTATCTCAAAAGAGCAAAGATGTGACCCCAAAGACAAAGAGGTGGAAAGATTTTCTTC